ATATGGCTGTGGTCTTCAGCCAGAAAAGGACGGAGTGCCTACTTTGAGTCAGGGAGGAGTATGGTCATGAGCTTTGGGTTGTGACCAAAAGCAGACCCAAGCCTTCTCCAAAGGATTACTGGACTCTCCCTTAGAAGTAGTGTGAGGTGTTCAGCCATCCGAGAGAAGCCAGAATAGATCTGTCACTTCTCTACATTGAAAGGAGCCAGTTGAGGTGGTTCGGGCATCTGATTAGGATGCCTTCTGGACACCTTCTGGGTGAGGTATTCCAAGCATGTGGTACATTGGAGACATATCTCTCATCTAGCCATAATAAATTATCTATAGTTTAAGCTTTACATCTGTGTCTCCCAAAAGATTATTTCTGCAGGAAAACCTGCTGTCACAGTAGCTTAAACTACACTATGTGTTAATTAGTCATCCCTCATTGGGATGTGTTACTTTCCTCTTTCTTTATCTCTTTTTTGAGATATGACACCAACTTTGATACCCTTCAAACAGGCAGAAACGTTTGACCTCACAGAATGCAATTAATTTGCATGACTGTAATGTCTTTGATACGCTGCTTAGAAATGGTGGTGGTTCTCAAAGTGGAGCCAATGAGAACCCAATGAGATCAGAGAACTGATTTGCAATTGGAATCGCTAAATTCTTATCTATTCCCATCCCTACTTGGTAATCTGTATGTTTTTAATCACATCTTTGTGTAGCATTCCAAATAAACTGACGAGTGACTATGTTTTCACTCAGTCTTATCTCACTGGTACATGTTGCCTACCTCTTTGAAGAGTTTGTCCCACATGTCCTGATAACAGCCCTTATAGTGCTTGAGTTCCTCCTCATCCTTTGCGGTCACTGTGGAAACAGTGACTACACCCGCAGGAAAGTTTAGGAGATTGTAGACAATTGTGTAACTAATAGCAGCTGAAATAACAGAAAATATAAATATATTATTATGTAGAATATTTAGTAATATTCAATATAATAATTAATATTGAAATGTATTTGTCCAGGCTGTCAGGCTGCTCTTGCCAAAGTGATGTTAAAAAAAAAAAAGCAGTTACAATCAAAGAGTCAAAGTTGTGCTGTGATTCAATGCAAAATCACAAAAAATAATCCATTGTAAATAATCCACAGGGAGTTTATCAACAGGTGTTTTGTGGCTGAAATTGGACAAACTGTGATAAACAGAACACTATGTTGCCACTTGTACTCAGTGTATCATACTTGGAATTTTGCTACAGTAAAAGAAGTTGTAGGCTGGTCCAATCACAGGACACAGCAGCACATCAATGTTGCAGCTCCTCCAATGTGCTATTGTCTCTTGAATGTAGTCCTAAAGAAAACACAGGAAATCTCAATTTCATCTTCAGACTTTCATACGTGACCATGCATCATCGGCTGACAGTACCTCAACAGCAGCATGTTGCTTCCACAGCTCTGGAACAGATCTAAGAATAAAGTATATCATTCCTAGAACATGTATAATATGAAAATCTAACAAAGGATCAAGTACAAATAAAACATTTCAAGAATACTTTCTCACCCAACTCCACAAAGAGCCTTTATGATGGCAGAGACACGAGGAGACTGCAGATAGATAGATAGATAGATAGATAGATATGCATTATTCTGCTAAATCACTGAATCTGGTGATTTAAAGAAATAGACCATCTATTTG